TTATTCCAGGGAAAAAAAGGGGGACAGAATGCGTCACCGCAGCTCACAGCCTGCCTGTTTCCAGATAATTAGTGATTGACGGCCGCCACGATCCTATAAAGATTTTTGCAGCAGCTGAGGCTGCTATGCAAATCTTCGAAGGTCTGTTCTTTTCCTGCTATCGTCCCATCCACACTTACCGCGAGTCTTCCTACGATCCTTTCATATTCAGGCACACTTGCTTGCGACACGGGCTTTAGACACGTTGAGGTAAGGTGCTCTCGTCAAACCAGTACAATTAAGACTATTACTATTGCGCAGGAATTGATTGTGATGAGAGCGTGTAAAATAATACGCGGCGTCATAAAGTGCAACGGGGGATTCAGAAAAAACGAAAGCATTTTTACTCGACACTCGTGTGTTGTCATTTCGGCCTCTGTCATAATCGATTAGCGCAAACCCGGTCGTCGATAGCGGCTCTTAATCGTGACAAATTCCTTGTTTCATTGTGTCTAAATCGTTTTGCGAGCGAGTATGCACGCATGTACGATAGATCTCCTCGTGTGCACGTCCGTTGGAACATATATTCACAAGCGTTACGATGAATCTCGTGGCGGTGCGACGTGGCATTTACCTCGCGAATGTCTTCACACTTGTTATTTGTCGCGTCAATACCGGAAAATGATCGTCCAACTCTATTTGCTATCATTCGCGCGCTTATAACCATCCGAGAGCGAAAAAAAGGTTGGTCGGAATCAACGAGGGGGAGCAGGAAGGCGTAGGTAACGAGACGGGAGCGAGACGGGGAAAGATTGCTCCGAGAGAGGCGAGACAACCGTGAGGAGATCGCTTTCGGGATCATTAATTATCCTAGAATGCGCGAGAACGGGCAAGATATATAGAGGGAGGATGGTAGCAGCGAGGAGAGAGAGTGTGGAAGCAGCGCGAACGACAAATAGAAAAGAGAGCGAACGAGACGGCGAATGTCGCCACTGCAAACCGAAATTACAGTCGAAGATTAATGGCTTTACGCTTTATTACAGACATTTATGGCCTAAGTCTCTGGAATTCCGTCCGAAATAAAGTTCCCCGCTGAAAAGCATTACAAGACACCATTTTTTGCTTCTAGCGAATTCATTTTATACCTGGCTCTTGTATCCTTATCGTGGAACCTTTTCCACGATTAAGATCGTGTCAATCACGCAGAGAAGAGAAAGTTTTTTTTCTCTGTGTTTAATGTCTCCAACATTTGAGCTTTGAGTTCCACGCACTCGCCATGAGTAAATCAAAAGTGCGTCTCACAAAGAGATGTACATTCTTAGCCAGAGGTCATTGTGTCAATTGTAGCCAACCCAGATATATGGCACTGGATGGAAATCACATCGTTACGGATGCCGCAAATAATGCGAAGGAATCAATCCCAAGTATATACTCGTCTGTCCCCTCGAAGGATGACCTTCGACACGACATTTCCACGCTTGATCACAATGCACGAATGCCTCAAATTCTGTCCTTCGTTTCTATTTTCGGCCAACCGTATCGTACCGAGACGGCGGTACAAGCCGGCAACCCTCCCCTCCCCCCCTCCCATGGCGTGTTCCCTCTGAGTCTCAGCATTTGGATGAAACGCGTTCAGAGCAATATCGCTCGCAACAGCAATGGAACGAAGCGGAGCTAACGCACCACCAGCCGGGGCGAAAGGGGATGGTGGTTGATTTTTTCATCCCCGTGCCCTCGACGCGTGTACTCGACGAGCACCGAGCGCGAGAACTGGAATTCGTTTAGCCTCCGCGGAGACGAGCAATAACGATTTAGTTTCCCGAAAACGAGCTCGTCGGCGTAGTAATTCATTAATGTATCCGACGCGGAGAGAAAGTAGGCCTCTGGAAAAGCTGACGCCTTTGACGTTGATCCTTTGTGCCGCGCGCGTCGTGAGACGCTCGCTCGAGGAGAGCGGGTCTCGTCTCTCACTAACGCCCAATTATAGCCAATTAATCGTCCGCCATTATCCGAGCATTACCGTTCGATTCACGCGCCGGCGAGTTATTCACGAAGGACGTCGCCGTGCGCCGTGCGATTCAAAGCCAAAGACGACTACGCCTGGTACGCGCGGCATCGCGAACGTTTACATTGGCAGACCCCCGTAGTCATTAATAACCGATACGCGCGGAGCTTCGTTTCTGTCTCGCGTTAATTCGACGTATCGAATCGAACGACACACCGCGCTCGTTAATCTTCCTTGCCGAACCGTCACTCCCAGCGATTTATTTAAAGAAGGCACGTTGTTCTTTTCTCTCTGTTTTCTTTCTTCTCCCTCCTCTTCCCCCGGCCGGGGTCTTTTTTGTCGTGCGTCACGGAGCAAACGCTCGGACTAAAGTTAATTAATGCGACGACGTACCATCGGTATGCGGGTACGGCGCGATAACATATCGGCGTAACGCACGCGCGCACGTAGTTCCGCGCGATCTCCGCCGAGTGTTTGCGCTCTAAGCAAATCTCCTAATCGTATATCGTGCGGTTTGTTCGCGTCGAGAAGTACTGTTTATGCGGTACTGTTAAAGATACATAATCAGGTATGAATACGTACATACGACGACATGTACGGAGTGCATGAAACTAACTCGACAACGACGTACGGCGTGGGAGAAGTGAAAAGTTCACTCACGCGGCCTCTTGTTTTTTTCATTTTTTTGTATCTTTTTAGAATGCGTTTCGGATCATTATTTAAAATGCACGGTTTTTCCCAATTGCCCACCTCAGCCCAACTACGAGGAAAAACGAAACCTGCGGGACAGAAGGGGTGAAACGAGGTGATGGAAAAGCGGCGGTCGGATCCCCCGAGGTAATAGCGCGAAAGTTCCGACATCGTTAATCTTGCACTTCGTAGGTAGACGGATAGATAGTATGTACGTGTCGAATACGTACAGACGTACATCCGTATTGCTACATACATCGACGGAGCCACACCCCTAACAGCGGTGGTTACGATCCCCTTTACAGCCACCCCCATGTTCGTTTAAGCATCCGCACCGTGTTTAAAACCGTGTTTCGACAGAATTGGATAGAGGATAGAGGAGTGTGTACGACCGGGAGAATTGCGTTTTTCGCTTGTTTTCAAATACGTTCAAATATGACGTTCCCGGACGTGCCGCGTGTTCGATCAAAATTTTCCAAACTTCCCGATTTAATCTTTAGTGCGTTGATTTATCGCGCGCAACTGTCAGGCTGGACTGAGATATAAATTTATTGATTTTCTCACAAGTATAATCTCATCTCAAACAAAGTCATTTGTCATTTTTTAATTTTTTACATGCTTGACATCACGGCGGTATAACGCCGCTTGATAGAGTATTTTCATTTTGTAAACAGAAAAGAGCCCTTTTATTTATTCAGCTATATGTTATCTTAAGATGATATCATATTTTTCGTTCCGAATAAAGTTATACTCCTAAAAATAAATCAACTTCTAAAACCTGTCTTTAATCATCCCTTGTAATAATGATTCAGCTGAACGATAGGTACATGACAAAAATACATATGATAATACGAATATATATGGATAAATATTTGTTCAAGATATAAATTAAATAGACCATGAAGGCAGTAGAAATTCTCCCTACATTGATAGAAACATCAAGTCCGATTTAGATCTTTTTGTGCATTCTTTGCCGTGCACGTAACTTTTTATTACATCTTATCTTATATCTTATTGATGCTCCTTCAGAAGGGTCATCTTATATAAATACTTATAATATATATAATACTAATAATATAAATACTTCGATAAAATCAAAATGTAAATGTAGATATAAATCCTGAGGTATGGAAAATTAATTGAGACTATTTACATTGAAGACTAATCCGTGACTCACCTGTACACCGAAAAAATCGTATTCTTAATTTTAGAAAAATTCCCTCTAAAGCTTTCTTCTAATCGAATATTGTAAAAAGTTCAGAATATTCCCCTCTAAAAGTCTTTTATTTAGAATAACATCTAAAATAAAGAAAATATTCTAAAATATATATATATATATATATATTTCGTCGCCAGTTGGTTGACGAACGACACTCGCGCTCGCGCATGCGTAAACTATAGTATACGCAGCTTTTATTACGTTGCCGTATCGTGTCCTGAACGTGTTTCGAAGGAAGTCTAATCTTGTGATGTAGTGTTGAAACATGGAGAAAATGAAAAAGTGGCTGCTTGAACATAATTTATCGGAATTAGTCTGCCGTTTTGAAAGTAAGTACGAATTATTGAAAAAGTGTATGAGTATTACGTAACCTAGACTGAAATGATTCGTCAAAATAATAACGAAACAACGTTGAAACGATGTCGATGTTGTTTCGACACGATGACGTTTCTGACTGAGAAGTACTGATGCACACTCAAACCTCGTCGACAGTCTATCCAACAGCCGAGCGTGTGTCGCCACGTGAATACAACGTGCATTCCACGTGGATTCGACGTACGTTTTTGTGAGGCTACTACTATTTATCCATATTAGAGGGATATTCTAACTCTCATTAGAATATCTCATTAGAATATTTTCTTATACTTATATTAGAGGGAAATCCTCTCTTTTTTATAATATATACTTGGCGCATATTTTAGTGGTTTAGTTAAATACTCTATACTTCAGTTACTTTTCTATAATGTAGAATAAAATTTTTTCGGTGTAAGTATACGAAAAACTACAGCGCAAACGTATCTTATCTCAGTCGCTTATATCTCATCAACTATCGATCGCGTTTCTCAACCAGTGTGAACCCAGGTATACCCATAGATAAAAAAAGGCACAAACGCGAAGAACAATAGGATTGCTTCATTGAATATCAAGGTTACCGCTGAAGATCTCAAATATGTTATCGCGATATTATTTCTTCGTGTTGATCGCCGGTATTGAGGATTGCGATAAACCGCTATATGATTATAACGCGCTTCGGTAACGCGCGAATATTTCGACCGACCAACCGTCGGTGATTCAGAAACGTACGCTTACCGCTTCGTATGGCACGTATAGCAATTTGAGGTTAGCTCGTAAATGATCAAGAGCGCTCGGACGTACAAATCAAACTTGTATAATATCAATGTCATAAGGACGGAAAGTGACTGATATTTATTTTGTAAAAGTGAAAGTTTGTGAAAGCCACAATTCGGATAAACGCAATGACAAGGAATCATTGCGGTGGAGAACGGTGTGACGTGCGTCGGGTGGCTCTTGTCAATTTTATTTGCTTAAAAAATTTCGGTGCGAAGTAAAGAATGGGACAAATCGGTTCGGTCTGAAAATAAACCTATAACGGCTCCTTCTATATACGGTCACATTGGGCTATCTCAGGTATTCGTAAGAGGATAAGAACCTTTCTTCGAATTGGAAATCACAATTGTCCGACCTCTCAGTATGAAGAGTTCACAAAGCGAGACAGATTACCATTGTGTCGATGCATCTCTTCGTCACTGCCAAGATAATGCGTTGTAGAAGAAAAGCACTTAGCACTGCGTTCAAAATTTTGTTCAAAGTTTTGCTCGCTTCGAGTTTTATTCGCGTGACGATTGTAATCCGCGATTGCTGCGAAGGTTAAGATTGTTATCTTCTACAAGTGGGGTAAACAATCACCGTCGTCAATCTACAGAAGGAGAAGAGGAGGAAGCAAAAGGAGGAGAATAAAAGTATAAGCATATGTGCTCATAGCGCCGCAAAAGCAATTGAGACCTCAAAGTTTTTAACTGTCTCAGTAACTGGTTACTTGTCGCGTTACGTTCGCGTGCGGATAAAGTCATTGTTTCGATATCGGGGCGTACAAGTGAACACATCATATCACGTTGATCCGACGTTTCCGACGTATACGATATCTAAAACTGCGCGAAGAGCTCTCTCATCATTGAATGACGATAGCACGATTTGATGTATCGAGCGATATAGAAGGCAGAAGAAAAATATGTCGTATTGCAGCGAGCTGTCACTCTCGCAGGAGTATCAGAGCTTTCGCAGTTCTGTACCGCTCAGAAAAATCGTCCTCGACTCGGACGACTTGAAAGTACGATTTGAATCTTGCAATTGCTCTGAGCCAGCTCTATGTCTAGCTGGGATTTCTCGATCATGTATGAGCCTTACGATACGATTGTTTCAGGGATGGAAAGTATACGATTCCAATCAGAAAAATGTCAAGTGCCCCCTCATATGTCTTCCACCGGTCAGTGGTACTGCTGACATCTTTTTTAGGCAAATATTGGGTCTGGCTGCTAAAGGTTACAGAGTTATTTCAGTGAGTTGAACATGCATCGTGTATAAAAATCCTGAAGAGCACGTAATTATGTGTACAGTAAACAGAAGGTCTGGACTGAAGGTCTGGCTTAAAATGATGTAACGCTAATCAAAAGTTTGTTCGTTTATAGGCTGAGGCACCGATATACTGGGGTGTGAAAGACTGGTGTGATGGATTCAGAAAACTGTTGGATTATTTGAAACTTGACAAAGTCCATCTCTTTGGCGCTTCATTAGGTCAGGACATGCAAATAAGCGATTCATTTTTAGGCTTCAATTTGCAAATTTACAGATGAAACATGTGATCGTGTTCACAGGTGGTTTTCTGGCGCAGAAATTTACAGAGGTTAACGCGCACTGCCCTAGAGTAGTATCTCTAATTTTGTGCAATACTTTCACTGACACGTCAGTTTTCAGTTACAATGATTCAGCATCAATGTAAGTCAATCATACGCATGTACACACAGCTCAATATGTTTCCTATTCTTCTGCCTGCATTTACAGATTTTGGATGTTACCGTCTGTGGTTCTGAAGAAGATGATAATGAGCAATTTTACAACAGAAAAAGCTGATAAAGAAATTATAGAAGCAGTCGATTTTATGGTAGAAAGGGTATGGGTCATTATTTTGTTCAATTCACGAATAATCATGGATAAGCTGAAAAGTCTCTCAAGAGCGAAATATTTACTCTAAAGATTCAGATTCTATATGTATCGCAATCCTTATTTTGTAGCTGGAGAGTTTATCACAATCCGAACTGGCTTCCCGTTTAACAATGAACAGCGTAAATAATTATATACAGCCTCAAAAAATATGCCATTTACCTGTGACAATAATAGACGTTTTTGATGATTATGCTTTAACAAACTCAGTCAGAGAGGAGATGTATAAATGCTATCCAGATGCAAAACTGGCACATCTGAAAAGTGGAGGAAATTTTCCATATCTAAGCCGAGCTGCCGATGTTAATTTACATCTGCAGGTATCTATTGAGTTGCATTTACGTGCGAATATGCCTTTGCAGACAATAAGTATCAAAGCACTTATTTACAGGTTCATCTGAGACAATTCGAGGGCACAGAATATGCAGCTTCAAAACTGACTGATAGTTAGCATAATTACACTAATCTTAGGTAAAATTAAGTATTAATTATTCCTAATACATGATCTCTCTTTGTACATAATTTAATCACGTTGTTATTCCCATAACAATCTTTCCTCCACACACGAAGTTAAAGCATTGCTGTGAAAATGATAACGAAGAGTGAATACGAGAATTCCTATGAGCTCAAATTCCTACTAAAGAGCAAAGTTACGCCAAGTTATATAAAAATATGTTATCGTGTCAAAGAAGCACATGCATGCCATGCATGTTACAATTAAACAAAGATAATCCCTGTTAAACGTATGCAAATGTTGAGAATACAATGAAAGCTTGCGCCTTTTGCATCAGCTCGAGTTTGTGATTATTCCGATTATATTTGTATAATATACATATATTGTTATGGAAGATAGAATAGAAATGATTATACAGCGCCGTTACTTAATGTATCGTAAAACATATTTTAGTTCTTTGAAATATAAGCATTTATATTTTGTTATATTTATACTTTCGTCTGTAAGAGGTGTCCTATCTATTGATTATCTATTACCACAAACTCGAGTACTTTAATAATTCATGATATATCAATATAAATAAAGATAAACTATATACTTTTATACCGAATTTTGAAATCTTATAAAGTTTCTAGCATTATTAACTCCTTTTACAGCTGTACACACGTTTTAAGGTGTTTTTGTGCGACTTGAAGTGCGATTATGGTATGCGAAATAAGAAGTTTACCGTAGTTTGCTAGGTTGCCTGACCGGGAGACCGTATAAGAACTCGCTTGGTATCGATTCCTTCCTGTATGCTCTCGCGCGTTTCTCCTTTGCTATCTCAGATTACAGGGCCTGTTTCGCCCAGTATACGTATGACTCTACAGTCAAGGTTTCACCGGTCGCAAGAATAACCTTTGGACGAAACTTCAATTGTGTGTCATAATTATACATAATTTCTCAGTCTTTCGTATATAAGCGTTTAGCATCTTGTGTTTTACATTCTTGTATTTCATATTCTTATGTAAATCCCCGTGAAAATAAAAGGAAAAAACAAATAAACACACTGAAGAACTCAATTACGTTCCAAAAATATTCCAAAATGTAGATATTCGTCAATGCCAAGTGATTTTCGTGCCAAATACATACACACACAAATCATTCATGTTTGTATGCAAGTATAGCGTACATTGTTCAATTTTTCCCGCGAAAAGAAAAAAGAAAGGAAAAACTAAGATTGAGATTACCGTGGCTATGACATTTTAACACGTTCAAATACCGGTGGTCATATACCGATAAGATTATGGTTATCGTTAACTACCGACATTATACCGTGCTAATCTGCCTCTGCCGATTTAACATAATCTTCCGCGAGGAACGTAACGATGCACGTTTCAGAGCTCAGTCTTTCACCTGCACGCGACGCGGATAGCACAGCCGCCTTATTCGCTCGCGATATTCGCTCGTGACATGTGACGACAGGGCTAATTCTGGCAGGTGTTAATGGTAAAAATACACACAACGTTCGAATAGATCGCGTCTATTGTAATCCGATTATTTCTTCGATGACGTTTGTGAAACAAGCCCTTTTCGACCGCGACGCGACGTCAACAAGACGTCCGGCAACGTTGGTCGAGTTACATGTTTCTCAGTCGTGTGTGTGTGTGTGTGTGTGTGTGTGTGTGTGTGTGTGTGTGTGTGTGTGTGTGTGTGTGCGCGCGCGCGTGTGTGTGTGAACTGGATGTTTCACTAGAAACGCATAAACTATCGAGAGTTTTATATTGCCCTTTCCAACATTTCCCGAATTCCTGATAATTTAAGCAAATAGTTCCGCTCATTAAAACAGAAAGATGAATCTGCAGAAATTGAAACAAATTGGGTTCACACTGCGTCTCAGTTTGTTCTGCACGAGTCCCAATCTTGTTAAATATTGCAAAATCTATAGTTCCATGTGAATTCGACGATGCTCGCAATTTGGCAGGGAGAGAAAGGGAGAGAGAGGCCTGGTTTTTCCCAAAATAATTCTCGTACAATACCGAGCATGTTGGAGTAAAAGATTCGAAATAATTAAAATCCGTGCGACCCGTATCGATGTAGAGTTATGTTAGTGTTAAAGATATCAAATAACGGAACGCTGTAATAGATCGACACAAAGTTGACCAAATATGCTCACCATATTTATATGCAATCGAAATATCTACGATAAATATTTAACAATCAACAAAAAAGCGGCATGATGAATTATCTTGTAATCCCGCAACAAAGTTTTACGCATAGTCGAATTAAGCGAATTATGAAATTCGTAAAAGCAAATATGGGCGAGTGTTTGTGTGGTTTTGAGTGATGTATGTGCCTTCTACCTATTGCTAATACGTGATGTAAGCGAACACGGATCTGGATCAAGTTACCGATAAGTCGAGCGCGATTTGATACTATCATCGACATCTTTGCATCTAGGAATCGTAGATTCCTTCAGAAAGGACACATTGGAAAGCTGACATCTTCGTTCCTCTTGTCGTTGAGGATTGATTAATAGGATGCAAAAGTGACGTTATTAATAAATCGCAACGGCAAAATCAATTATCTAAAATAGTAATAAAAATTATTGTTGCGCCTTAAGCGGCATGTGATACCTTATTTCGTTTCCAATGGTTCTCGTGGTTACACGTTTTTATTCTCCCAGTTCCGGAGACACCGGATTCACATACGCTTCAGTGAATTTATAATAAAAGAAAAAGAAGTAGAAAATTAAGATACAGCTTATACCTTAACAATCTATATCTTTTGACAGAATTTTATCCATGAACATCACGCAAGAAACTATTTTAAGAAAGGAAATAGCTTGCAGCGATATCCAATCAAGTGAAAGGAATGTCTACCACAGACTTGCCTTAAGAAGAAACTTTAGCTTTATCGCAAGTACCTTTTTACAAAGTTATTTTTGTCGATCGAGTACGATCGACTTTAATGTAATGTAATTTCAAGCAAATATTTGCGCATGACACACGATACTTGAGGGTTCTTGTAATTGTTGATATATTTTATGAGCGCGCTATATTTTATGAGAGACATTTCGATCATTCATTCGATAAATCAACAGAGACTTTTCTCCACGAGATATTACTCTTGCGATGGGATAATATATTTCCCATTTACAAGTTATATATTTCCCACAGTCTGACTTATTATATCATATTGTCTGCCTTGTAAATTTATTGCAGTTTTGTTTCACCGCGGCCCTGCGAGGAAGCGATTTTCCGCAAACGCGGCAAACAAGCCAGGATAATATCGTATAATGGATATACGGGAATCGTAAGAAAAAATTCCTATCTTGTCTCGAAGAACACATTCTATTCCAAGAATGGATAGTACCAGTGAACAAACACCACTCGTGGAAGGGAGGATAACAATGCCCACGAAATTGGCCTACGCTCTTGGCCACATTTTCAACGATTTAGCGGCTGCCATGTGGTTCTCCTACACTTTGATTTACCTTCAACGAGTGGTATTGTTACAGCCTATTATCGCCGGTGGGCTTTTACTATTGGGTAAGTGTGACGCGTCGCGTCATGTGTGCTGATGTTGCCGGCTCATTAGCGGCATTGATTAATGTCCCAACGAATTTCATTCTAGGGCAAGTCGTCGACGCGGTGATGACGCCCGTCTTCGGTTTCGTCGTCGATCGCTACTGCAAAAAGAAAACTTGGCATATTCTCGGCTCCGTCATGGTCACCCTGACTTTCCCCGTGATATTCGGCGGTTTCGCCAGTTCGTTCAGTTCGCTCGTCATGGTCTTGTATGTAACGAGCATCGCGATCTTTCAAACAGGTTGGGCGGCCGTGCAAATCTCTCATTTGTCAATGATTCCCTCGTTAACTAATTCCCTCCTAGACCGAGCCGATCTGACCGCGATAAGGTATGTGAATTATGCAACGCTCTTTTGAGAACGTGGGAAACGTGACGACGCGCACGCATATTGCGACGTTACTTGGTTAAAAACGCATTTCTTCAGTCGAGTACTCGGAATTCTTAGGCCCAGTTGCACCAACCAAAATTATTTTGGTTTATGGTAAGTGAGACTTAAACATAAATCCATCTTTATCTTTCTTACTAAATAAATAAATAAAGACAGAGAGATATGTAGAGTACTCAAGTCTCACTTGAAATTAAAATAATGTTGGTGCAACTGGGCCTTAGATATCTACGATGTCGAGCTATACTACGTAACTCTGGAATTACAAATTACCGAAAATAAAGATGTCTTTTATTCAAGACTAAGCAGGCAATTTTTGGCGCGCAAACAATTTACAGTCGAAAGGAAATGCGTTTGGAAGAGAGAAATATTCCGCTTCCGACGAAATGATACCGAGATGAATTTAATCGCAGATATTCCGCTCAAGTTAGCGCGGCCGTGATCGTTTTCGTGGTCACGTGGATAGTTCTACCGACTAATGACGACTCGATGGTTCAGTTGGATCAACGAGACTATTACAAATTCAGAGTGCGTAAGAGAGGAAGGATGACGCGTACGTTAGAACGAAACCGCGCGCGATTCACTCTGACGTTACTCTCTACGGACCCCGCTCGTACTCATACTTGTATGTGCTTGATTCTAATTCACAGAACATCGTGTTGGTTCTCACGGCTCTCGGCCTGACCGCGACAGCCTTCTTCCATATGCTGCTGAAAGCGCATCTCTTGGAGAGGCCGACAATAAGGAGGAAGGTGGACATCGATGGGGCTGAGCCCCATCAACCGCCGCACCGCGTGGTGTCTAACGAATGGACGCGCATCACGATTTTGCTGCGAGTTGCGATGCTGTACGTGGCGAGCAGGTTGTTCATCACCCTCGCCACGGTATACCTGCCATTGTACATAGAAGAGACCGAAGTCGGGGGGAAACGAGCCTTGGCCACCGTGCCGCTCGTTTCCTACGTGTCCTCTTTCGTCGCCGCTTTACTACTTAAATATATCAACAGATGTTGCGGAACGAAGGTAATTCTCGACTCGTGTTAGTTTCAAGGCGGAACGAGGACGAATCGAACACCCCCGAATCGAGCACCCGGATAAACGTGTGTTTTTCACGTGTGATTTCAGATCTGCTATTTTCTCGGCGCCGTAATCGGTATAGTCGCCGCCGCCGTCACGGAATTCGTGGACACCGGCACGACGGCCGTGTACGTCGTCGCCGTGCTGATCGGCGCGGGAAGCTCCATCACGATGGTCACGGCGTTGAGTGTGACCGCCGAATTAATCGGCTCCAGGACGGAGCGCAGCGCGCTCGTGTACTCTATCGTCACTTTCCTCGATAAGATCGTCACCGGCCTCGTGGTAATACTCATCGAGAGATGGTGAGTAACGCGACTGCGTTCGCGATCGAATGCCGCTTTTAATAGCTGCTCTCGCGGGCTACAATCACGTAGCGTGATCGAAAAGCGAGCGACTCGACGTGGATTATGGATCTCGCGAGTCGATGAGTCGTAAAGAGCGAGCGAGGTCTAATCAACGCAGAATCGTCGCGCTATCCATTTTCTTGTTTCCAGGAGATGCAACGATAAGGAATTTTGCCCTACCTACAATCGAGACACATTGTCCATAGTGTGCGCCTCGTCGATGTTACTGGGACTGATAACTTTGCTATCTGTATCTCGCTGTTTGACGTAAAGTAGCAGTAATCCGTGACGTAAATGTGTTGTGCGGCGGACGAGAAACATTATAACGTCTCTTGTAACACGTTCACTGCCTAAGAATTTTTTATACGCATGTATAAATGTATGCTATGTATCCATGACCTACCTACTAATGACTCAAAAGCATGCTAATTATGTCTGCGTGTCGTACAATTAAACCTCATGTAAAAAAAGAAGAAAAAACTGCCAACGAACATTAAAAATATTTTATGCCATGTATAACGACAGTTTTATTTGCAAAAAATAGTCAACCTCCTAGAAATAGCCGGGCTATGTATCAAGATCGTGTTGCTAGTTTTTTTTTCGTACTCTTACGCTATCTATCAGCATCGGTGAGCTTCGTCATCATCGATGATGTCCACAAGATAATTCGGGAATACCGACATTACCGACCGTGTCAATTAAACGTATCCATACACATTCTTTTTCTTCTGTCGAACGCTTATTCCAAACCGACGACGAAACATGCAATTCGTCGTGCAGAAATTGTATAAATTCCATCGACTACTTTGATCTGTGACTTACAAGGTTCTCCTTCGGCGAGCCGGAAGCGCAGGATGCGACAATTTCAATCCCAAACTGCCATAACCACGGCGAATACATTGTGTTCATCGTCCGATGCTTCTAACGATCCGTTGCACGAGGAAACAACGCCACGCTTCCTTCGGCGATGTAAAGATCTTCCTTATCACAAACGCGCGAGATTTATCTTCGGCACTCCCGACATTATTATTTTGCGAGCGCGACCTTCTCGACGGGTCGAAAATCCCCGACGATTTAAACTCTGAACGGCCATTGTGTGGAAACGCGATGTCCGTTCCGATCCGGCACGTTCCGCGAGATCTCCCTTTTCTCCCGGCAACTTCCACGATATTCAACGACACTTTATCGCGACAATCTCGCTCTCTCGGTACCCGACGACAATTCACGCGCGAGACTCGCCCTCGGCGAGTCGAAAGCGCGGCGGATATGAGACAAACGGTTCCCTCTGACCTGTTGCGTCGCAAATCTTTTCTCAACTGACCGCGTTGAGAAAACGCGGTTGCGATTCTCGCAGTTTGAGCGCGCAACTTCACTCGGTACCCGATCGCCCACCGCCGCCCCCCGCACCCCGCGCCCGGTGACTCGGTGATATCGGCGATTTCTCGATGATATTTTGGTCATTACGCCACGTACGCACGCACGGCACTTGTTTTCGGCGATTACCGACGATAATTCGCGCACGAATCCCGCGTACGTCGGATTGAAGACGTAATAGAGACGCCCGACGGATGTGCACCCCGGAGGGTTATGGCGATACAAACGTACGAACTATGGGCTCGATGATAGCCCTTGACTAGTTGTCCCGCGAGCTGACTCTCGTCAGCCGTTGATTGACATTTGTCACAACAAACGTACGACACTCACCCTCGGCAATCCGGACGCGAGACTCGTGTCGGATGAGCTACAATCGCCGAAAATGCAGAGCGACTTTTCGTACTCCGACTTCCGCGATCCTTTCTGTTAATTGACTATGAGATTGCGACGATTGAGATCGTCGGATGTTTGGCGCTGACGTAGCACCAATCAGACAGCTCCGTTCCGATCCAATCCAATCAGATCTGCGCTCCTCGATTGCACCATGTTGCACTTTCCGCGATCACGGGATTCTTTTTCAAGTGAAATGAATGTTCATGAGAAATCTGTGTGATGCAGGAGAGAGAGAGAGAGAGAGAGAGAGAGAGAGAGAGAGAGAGAGAAGAGAATATGTATCGCGGGAAAATGCAAGAGGTACCGCTGACGGAAATGGACGTGGAAATTAACGCAATTATTGAAAATAATTCGTAATTCGCCTGGCGAACGAAAAATATTCGAAATAGTTGTAACGTGCATGCGAAGTTCAAGCGCACGATGCCATTACGAAGGTAGTGATCATCACGTATCTCGACTAGGTGGTAACAGCTTAACGGACGTGACGTCACGTGCAACCCGCGGCAGTTTCACTTCGTTTCGCGACGGTTAGAAGTCGGATCGCGGCCGCTCCGTTTCGTAGCGTCTTTTCGCCCGTCGACAACGATTTCGCGCACGAGCGGGTGTCGGAGGTGTCGCATCAAGTACCGGGCGATCGTTTCGGCGCGTCAATCGGGGCCGCGCGAGCGTGATTAAACGCGATGTCTCTCAATATTCATAACCGAGTCGTCGCGTCGCGTCGAAAACATGGCGCCGTGCGAATAAAATGGTGCAAATGTATTCCCTTCCCATCGACGGGACGAATGCTTCGCTGCTCATATTACGCTCTCGTACTTTGGTAAGTTCGCCCTTTGCTGCTGTGAGCAACGTGACGAAACACACGGTTAAAGATCACCGTTCGTCGATAAAATTTCACGTAGAACCATCGTGTCCGTAGGGGTAAATGTGGGGAGAGCGAGAGAGAGAGAGAGAGAGAGAGAGAGAGAGAAAGGGGGGCGGGCGGGCGGGGGAAAGAGAGAGATGCGATTCCATAGATGCACGAGTAACATTACTACATGGTCAATGCATATATACATATATCGAGACGCGTAGAAAGATCATAAAATAAACATTGCATCATAGAGCAACCACTGCGATATCGCAGACGCGATCTTCGACGCGTAGGACCTCGTCGGTCCTATCGATGCCGCCCGAAAGTAGCTTCGGCGGCATCGCGCGCGCGCGCGCGCGCGCGCGTCGCTTCGGCGCATCCAATCGAGATGTCGCTGCGTGTACGATTCGTCGAAAATCCTCGCGGACATTTTCACACGAAAGACAACGCGTAGCGCTTACGGTGGCGTATGAGGGTACGATGACCCGCTTGTTCGCGCGTTATGTGCTCGTTCGTCGCGATTGCGTCGTAGTACGTCAAAGCAGATATTCTCTTTATCGCTGCTACAAAGCGGCTGGGAAGAAGGTGGGAGAGCGTAGACGGGCGCCGAGCCACCGCGCAGACTCTTATTTTGCTCGGCGGGCGAGGGGTAGTCGGGGACGGACGCGCGTTTACGGGGCATGGCGTGGTGCGCGTTCTAGTAAACAAGTTGTGTGCGAGTCGCGCGGGGAATCTGCGCCCCGAGTTAATCGCGATATTTATTCTCCGGCGTGGTTGGCCGTCGCGCGCCACGACGCGCCGCGTTACCGTAGCCGTAGCCGTTGCCGTCGCCGCCGCCCGTTTGAAACTTTGCTTATCTTCTTAAAATACGAAGGTTAGGATTAATAAGCTCTCTCGGACAGTAAGCCGACTGCCGATCACGGACTGTCCGGTGTGCTATGAGTACGTGTGCCCGCGAGTGTGAGTGTTGCTCGTGTTTGCGGAGGAAAGTGATCACGGTGTTCACCGGTCCCGGATCTCTAACGAGGCGACGACTTTCGGTCGTGGCCGAGGAGCGAGGCAGTTGACGCGTGTGGTGATGACTCCGGCACACGTCTTGGAATCCCCGCCTGGACGCCGCGTTTCGGTGAGTAGTACTTCTTCCCATCGAGCGCTTTCTCCTGCTTGCTTTTTTCGTCGCACGCGCGCGAGCCGTCGTAGCCGTCGCAGTCGTCGTCGTCGTCGTCGTCGGCGTCGGCGTCGGCGTCGGAACTCGTCTCTTTTGTCTATGACGTATCCCCGTTGCGATTTGGCTGTTATACCGCGAGAAATGCCGTAGGCGCGCGTGCGACGTTGATTCCGCTCCGAAGATCGTCTTCTTTCATGAGACGCCTCCGGACGACGTTCCCGTCTGTCTGCCCATCTCTCTCTCTCTTCCTCTCTGTTTATTCCCCGTCTTTCCCAATCGCTCGAATCGCCGTCGTCGTCGTTCCTCGATCGAGGAGGAACGCGGCCGGGCGGGTAGCAGCGAGAGGGGAGGAAGAAAGGACAGAGGGAAAAGGTGCGCGCGCGCGCGCGCGCGGACAGCACGCTCGAAATGTTTTCGGCGGCGCAATGTGTCGCTCCTTGGGCGTTGCTCCTCTCGCGACTCGACTCTCTGTGCCTCGCGAGATGTTTTTCCACGAAACGTGCGTGCTTTCACCGCGGCGGTATTCGCACGCAGCGCAGCGTAGCGCGGCGCGGCGTGCCGTAGGCCGTGCGGGTATCAATGGCCTCCGAGGCCGCCGTGAAAATTGCTCGCTTGCTCGTTCGTTCATTCGCTCGCTCGGCCGATTAGAATGCGCGGAGGAAAAAGAGAGGATCTCCTCTCCTTCACGTAGGAGGCGGCGCGGCGGCGCTTTCAGAGGAAGGAGGGCATGAAGGCGGATCGCTGGCCCGGCTGTTTCTGCGTATCTCGGTTCGGCGGCGGCGACATTGTGTTGTTTCCGACGGTAAAAGGGCCTTAAGCGCGTCGATAGAGGCAAGAGAGAGAGAGAGAGAGGGAGGGAGAGGAGAGAGAGAGGAAGAGAGAGAGAGAGAGAGAGAGGAAGAGAGAGAGAGAGAGAGAGAGAGAGAGAGAGAGAGAGAGAGAGAGAGAGCGCGCGCCACGGTTATATCGTGCTCCACGATATTTCTCTCTTTAATCACTGACCTCGCGGTCGCTCGGCTAACCTCGTTCGCCGGCGCTCTGCGTCGCGCCGCGCCGCGCCGCGCCGTCGCGTCGTGAATATCGCGACGACATCGCCGAGAGCTCGAGAGAGGGCCGTGTGGACCGCGAGAATTCGGCTCGGCTCGGCCCCACGGTCTCGGATCGGAGCTCGCGGCCGAGTATTCTTTCCGGGGAGAATTCTTACGCTCTTACGTCATTATTATAAATATATGAATTTGTTGCTCGCGCATGTGACCAAGCCTCCCCCACGGGCGACATCGATGTCTCGCGGCGGCCGTGGCGCACGTGACGGCCGATTTATTCGATTTGTCCCACGTTCGTGCTCGTCTGAGAGACGACGGACGCCTTGCGCGGGTTTTTTTATCCTCTCCTTTGTTTTGCTCTCGGAAGAGCAGTCGTGAATTTCACGGATCGCTCGTCGTCGACACCTGATGCTCGTACACCTCGATGAACGCGCGCGGCTCTTCTCCAGTTATTCTCCAGCGTCACGGCTGTGACACTTCGAATTGAATGAGAACGACGACGCGCTTGGTTTATCTTCGCAAACGCGCTGCAATCCGATGAAACGTGGTTCCGGTGTCGAGGTCCTTTTCTCATCGCCAACGCAGCGCACCGCGTCGGCCGAAAATGGGCGCCGTTCCTTTCTACGATTTCCGAGTCGGCGAACGATGCGCGAAGGCCGGGAGAGAGTATCGATCGAAGCTTCTAATCGTTGACGTTTGATAAGAAACTCACTTTGATTGATAGCGACGATATTTTCAATGCCATTGGCTGTTGAATTAAAAATAAAGGATAGAGTACACGCAATATACGTGTCAATAAATTAATGGCTCGTGTGCATGCGCATACATATGCATTGCGCTGGAGGCGAAGGACGTCTACGTTACGAGAGAGAAAAAGGCGCAAATCCGTCATTCACTTCATTTTTAAAAGAGAGATATTGACACGTGTGAGATAATCGTCGTATGTCGCGGGTATCTTCACGATTACATACGGAACCGGGATCAGAGTCTCGTCGCGACGCGAGACGCGAGGCGACGTTATTTCGCGCGCGCGCGCGCGAAGTCGCTTTGTCGTCAGACATGCCTTCTCGCTTAAGCCGATGTCGGGCGGAAAATAATGCGGAACCGTGCGAATAACGGCGACATTTACGACATCATAGACGTCAGCCCAGAGTAACCCGCTGCCTTGACCGGCGGCAGCGGGGGAAGCGACAACGGGTCTGTAGGGCGTCTAGCCTTGAGAATATTCGAAAAGAAAAAAAATGTATTGGATTATTGACGGCCGACATTAACGGCAGGTAATAACGCGCCGCGGCGCATTGCGTAACTCTCCCGTGCGCTTTATTATCCTTATGAGTGTCGAAAGGTGCGCGCATCCTACCGAGCGCCGTGGCAAATCACACCACAAAGGGCGATCCTGTTGTACGTGTTCCTCTCCTTTATCGACCCTTTTCGGGCCTGTCCGACACTTTGCATTTGACAGAGCGCGCGCCGGCACTAACGATACGACGGCTGTGCAAAATCTCGCGCTGCCTATCGAGAGCACCACGCGCGCGGCTCGGAAATAATCGATATTTCATTACGCCGCGGCGGTGTCGCCGTATTTGCGCGTCGGCCGGTTACGCGAGAGCGCGGAAGTCAGGGGAATTGTTAAAAGAAAAAAGGGAGACACCCCGCCCCTGCGCCCGGGGGGGGTCGGTTGAAATGTCAGGAAACAGCGGGCTACATCGGCCGCGCTCTCGTCTCTCTCTCTCTCTCTCTCTCTCTCTCTCTCGTCTCTCTCTCTCGTCTCTCTCTCTCTCTCTCGCTCGCTCGCTCGCTTTCGATTGTTTACCGAATAATTGTCACCGGCTGCGCGGCGGGCAATATTAATCCGCAGAAACGGCGGATCCATACAAATAACGCGCGCCCGGCGCGCAGTCCGTTCGCGTCGTGTATCGTAATTGGATAGCTTGTTCGCTCCCTGTGCGAGCGAGAGAGAAACGGAGAAAGAGAGAGAGAGAGAGAGAGAGTACACCGACGATGGCACGGAATGTCACCGCTGTTGCGCTATTAACGCGCCACACCAAGGGCATGCGCCCAACAGAACGATTGCTCGGCATTGTTACGCCGAAGGGGAAACCGGCTCCGGATATCGCGTCGACAAACATTCGCGGTGTTCGACGACGGTGCGCGAAGACGGTCGCCCGCCCGCTCGGACCTTCGCGGAGGGAAAAAAGGAATCGATCCTGGAGTGTTTATGTTTCCCTTCTCTCTTGCTCTTTTCATTATCGGTGCGCATCCTTCCGCGTTTCCCGTCAACCTTGCGCATATAATAATCCGGCGTCTGAAGCGCGCGTCGGTGATTCCTCGGGATTCTTATGAGCGACGTCGGTAATCCTTAAAAGCACATATTTCGCGTAGCACGGCACATTCTCATCGACAGCAAGGCCGACGCCTGCCGCTTACGTTGCTGTAATCTTCTCCGTGTTTTCCGTACCGTAACACAAAACCCACGACGACGACGACGACGACGACGACTACAATGATGATAACGACATCGCTATTTGTCATTGCCGCTGTCGTAAATAACCATTTTTCTTATCACGCAACTAAATATTGTACGCCTGGCTTTGTTTGACTCTATGAGGTTTCGTCTTCGCAGTCATCGCAACGCATGAGAATAACGCGTACACGCGAGCGCGCGCGTGCGGTTATTCGTTCGACGCAAAAAATGTATCGCAATTACGTGCGCACGATTATTCTCACAGAGCCGACTCGACGCGTCGGCTGTGTGAACGGCGCGAGATGGTCATTTCGAGATCGGATCTTAACTACGCTCGCTAATTCGTTAATTGAATTGGATTGCTCGCGAGGACCCATCAATCGCGTCACCTGCGATAGCGAGTCGTTCTTAGAAATTGCGCGAGCAATAGTCATTTCGTAATAATGACTGCACGTACGTGCGCAAATTATACTGGATAATGAGATTATTAGCAAACGGCAGTTAGTTATAGTCGTACGTGTCATTATTCAAGCTTGCGCGTCGCCGCGCCGCGTTTGGGCAGGCTCGGCGTACATAACGGCAAAAGAAGAATCAATTATTCGAAATCTTAAGGACGTATCGATTTGATGTGCGACGGAAACTTTTCCCTCGAAAGAAGGTAATAGCTCGCATTCGCTCTCGACGTTCGTGCGCTCGAGGACGAGGGTAAGCGTCGTGTAATTCCACCTTATTCGAAAAGTGGCTATTTTCAGAACGATACGTCCTCGTCTGCGCGCCTGCACGTTTGTCCTTATCGCCGACTAATCTCCGTTAATTCGTCGGCTCGAATATGGTTAACCCGTTCCACCTCGAAAAACGGACTCACTCCTCGATGGCGAGCGCTGGAAATTCGCAGCCTGCGCCTCTGTCATGAAAGAGGCTTTAACGACGCTCGCGAAGGCACGCGCGAACGTGTTTTCAAATATATCAATTCGCCTACACCGCTAAATCAGCGTTTTCACGTAGCGACGATTCCGTGTTGCTTCGCTCGCCTGCCTGCTCCCGCTTGCCTGCCTGCCTGCCTGCCTCGCGTGTGCTCGCATCTCTCGATCGCCCCGCGTGCGTTTTACCTAGATCCCGGTGTATAAACCACATTCCATGCATTGCATACCGGGTGTCTCGAGAACGCGCGACGACCGCGAACCCTTCGATTTCGGGTTGTAACGCGCGTGCCGGTGACGACGGTAAAGCGGAGAGAAGAGGTCAACCTTTCATCGAAGGTCGTTAAATATGCACACGATACCTATGTCGCGCGCGCGTGTGTGTGTGTGTGTGTGTGTGTGTGTTTATGTATAAGTCGAGGTGTCTCTGGGGGCGTATGTCGTCGTGGTGGTGTGTACGAATACCTTCCAAGAACTATATTTCACTCAGCCATATGTTATGCACTTTGCAGCACCGAGGACGCGCGCGGT